CAGCGGCAGGAATTAACTGAGGTAGTAACGTGACCACAGACAGCAGACAATCGGCTAGTAGTGACAGCATTGGCAATCCACCTGTCACTCAAGTGGCCACACCCTTAATTATGCAGAACTTTAAGGCTTTATATAATTTAAACGGATGAGTTATAAAAAAATTCACCCCCCTCACAGTTTTCATGAAGAGCATAATTAGCTATAGTATAGACCAAAACCAATTTTTATACCAGGCTGTAAAAAAAAATCTGCTGTAAAGTTGGGCATTTTAACATGGAGGATATATAGAATTGACTCCCTTCAGGAGCCTGTCTCTAGCGGCCAGTCGATGAATTGCAGTTTAAGTCACTTCCATATTGGCTTCAAGAGAGAGACTGGAAGGTTGTCGCTCGGTTGAAACTAGAAATGGATCTCATTTTTTTAACAAAACAATTGCATAGATAGAACAACCGTCTGAGTGCCAAAGGTATTTTTTTTTTCAGAGCTTATCTCCTTGTAATTCAAAAAGTATTAAAGATATCTTCATATGATTTTAGATTCTGGTTATTAACCAACTTTCTTTTGAAATCTTAATTTTTAAGGCACTATATGGTTCAATTCAATTTTACTCATTTTAATGGGAGAAAACCAAATGAGAGCCACTTTGTAAGAAAAGTTTGTTAAGAACTAGAATCTAAAAGCATATTAAGTTCTCTTTAATATTTCTTGAGTTACAGGCATGCAAACTTGGGGCAAAATACTTAAGCGCTTTTTTCAAAATTTTTGAATTGTCACCGTTGGCATATGATGCAACAAAGATTGCTAAAAGTCAACAGTTTTTACTAATAGACCAACCAATCTCCATGTAAAAATAAAATAATGATGCTGTTATTTTTCTGAAGTCATTTTACCCCCCTGTAATTTGACTCCAAATCCAAATTTTTATTTTGACCCTCTCCACAAAATAGTGGATTACTCTCTCATTTTATATTTTAGCTTTACACTTCAACTATGTATTTCTTTCACCAGAATTTTTTTTATCAATATTACAACTTTTAGCACGGGGCCTCTGGTTGATTTGAGACGAAATGACCCACAAAGCCTCAAATCCATTGACTGTAATTTTGTAATGCGGAAGGTCCCACATTCACATACCTCATTTCTTAGGCGAGCAACCGCTCCATGTGCAGGTGTCTGAGGAACTGACACAACAATATCATCAAGACTCCCCCCACTGACCTACAAGACAACATAAATACGAATATTGTAAGCAACTAGTAAGGAAACAAAGGAAATCTCCAAGCTACAGGCTATAGTACAATAATTAACATAAACAACAGGTTTTAGGGAGAAATAGTCTTGCAATACACTAAACAACAGATCTGGGCAGTACATATTGTGTTCCATTAACAGTAATCAGCTAGATTGCTGCTTGGCTGACCTGCTGTGGTAGTGCTCCTGCTGGGCCAGGGAAACGACGTGCTTTGGTTGTCATCATACAGCTCTGTGGTCTCTGAGGTGTCTTATTGGCTGCAGACACCAGCTGGACCAAGTGATTGGTCAGGACGGGTGTGTTGAGAGGACGAGGTGTAAATGTGGAAGAGGAATCAATAGCAGATGATACAGAGTGGAAAAGAGATCCTCTGGGCTGCAGCGGGGTCCTCGGTGATGAAGTACCCATGTGGCACCGAGGAGACACAACTGGAGGCCTTGTAGTCACAGGTCTGGGGACTCGTGAGACTAATGTAGCGGGGATACGCATGTGATTTGGATTCTGCACAGGGGTAGATGGACACCTGGGGCCTTCGACATTGGAAGCGAATGAGCTGTTGATTAAGGGCCGTGCAACTGACACTGAGCAGGTAGCACCGAACCTGCCATGGGAGGACACTTCTGGTGCTGAATGTCCCATTCGTTTAACGGGTGAAATGTTATCCAGTGATGAAGAAATATTTTGTGGCTCAGAAACCACCTGAGGAATGCTATCCAGCTCCTCCAGATCCACATCCCAGTCGTCAAAGTCATCCTGAGGAGTGAGGTCTCTCTGCGGGACACTGAGAGATGCTGGTGGTGGATGGTTTATTTGGTTAGAGGAGGGTTTCAGGGATGACGCAGGTGCTCTGAGGGAATAAAGTGTCTGATGGCAAGGTATGGAGAAGTCTGGTGGGGAATTGATAGTGCCACATGTTGGGGTTCGAAGAGTCGCCACACAACCAGATCCTGACGTATTTTCCCCAGGGCCTGATGACAAGCTAACAGGTCTCTGCTGAACATGAGTGGATTTTTCCAACACATGCGAGGACTCAGATGGTGGAGCTACAGAGGGAGCAGTAGAAGATGTGGGCTCTGATGGACATTTCCAATCAGGGCCAAGCAAATCCTACAGATGAAAAACCATAACAATAAAACAAATTATACACATACATATATAATGTAACAAATACACATGTATGCACAATAGGCCTACACATACTTATGTAATGTATGAAACAAATACATACATGCATATATATACATATATATATATATATATATATATATATATATATATATATATATATATATATATATATATATATATATATATATACACATATACACATATATATATATATATATATAACGTTATATATCTGCATCTTATTCTATGTAAACTTTGTTTGTTTTGTAAACTATAACGTTACTAAACCCATATCAAAACTAAAAGTAAATTCCAAACCTCATCATCAAACTCCTCTCCAAGACTGAACAGCCCCTTCCATTTCTTACAAGCCTGTATAAACAAACAGTTAATAATATCATCAAAGAAAAAAACACAATAATTCGTTTTTAGCCTACAACAAAAACGCTAACGTTAAGTTAGCTGTTTGTACATAACGTTAGCTTACCGTGGCTGTCATGTCTGTTCCGTCAATCATTAGAGCAGTTATGCAACACGACAACCATTAACTATTGTTGTATGCAACTATTCGTTTAAAGTTGTGTTCTCATTAGATGTGCAGACAAGGAAAACACCCAATATTGTATAATCTCTAATTTCCACAACCTCGCGCCGCCACGTTCAAACAGGGACGGCGAGCGTGACGTAGGCAGTCGACGTGTATTGTTGCCGCGTTCAGCAGCAGTGAAGTAGCGCCATCTGCTGGATGTGTCCTAGGCGTGCATACACGTATACATACGGCGAACAAAACTTTGGAATAAACGTTGTAATTTGAGAAAAAAAGTGATGTCCGTTCAGTCGAGGTTAATTACCAGACCTTCATTTAAACTTTATGCGAACAGCACTCATCACTACAGAATGGAATCCGCCTTTTTTGTACAGCAACTGCAGCGAAACATTAGGCGGCCGGCATTTTTGGCCTTCTAAAGTCTTAAATTGCACATATCTGTAGGTCCGAGAAATCCAAATTTTCTCGGGGGAGCATGCGCCCGAACCCCCCAAAACTACCTCACATTTGAATGCGTGTGGTAATGTGTGGCTACAGTGCCAGGGCTGATTTTTTGTCCGTCTGCCCCTGATTGGACCTAACAGATTTTACCACGTACAATCCGATGTAGAATACTCGTATAATGTGAGGATATGCAGAATTTCTAAATGTGAATGTTTTCTCTGGCATCACTCAATACTGATGGGACATGACAGTGTAATTTTTTTTTTTTTTTTTAAATTACCTATTTGGCCAGCAAAATTAAAATGAACAAATCAACAGCCCAGAAAACTACACAAACTTTGTGCAAGTGTCATTCATGAGATTGTCATAATCTACGTAAAGTCACACTAAAATTCTTAACACTATATTCAGTAGCACTTTATTCCCCATCCCATGAGCATACTATGTACTAACCCCGAGTCTACACCTTACCCCAAGTAGTTGCCTTATATTCCCTAGTACTTTCTTAGACAAGTACACTTTAAGTACATATATAAAAATATAAAGTACATTATCTCTGCTGATCATTTTAATTGGGCCTGTCAAGAGATATCCAAAATATGAAATGCTGGGGGGGGGGGGGGGGCATATAACAGCAGGATGCTTTTGCAAAGTGACATTATAGACTACACTATACAAAAAAATTTAAAGAACAGATTTTTATTATCATTTCCACAAACAATGCAGAGGAGCCATTTTGTTAAACCAACAGTTCTAGAACTTCTGGAACTGCTTCTTGGCTCCAGCTGCCTTGGTGACCTTCAGGACGTTGAACCTCACTGTCTTGCTGAGAGGTCGGCATTCTCCAACTGTAACGATGTCACCTACAGTCACATCCCTAAACATATGGAGAACATTAGTGACATTCAAGAAGAAAACAAACTTTGTACAAGTAATTTTTCAAACTAAACTACTCAACCCAAAAACCTTAAGTGTGAAGAAACATTTTAGTGACTAGTATTTGCTGCATCAGTGATGCCTTTAAGGCAGTGTCGTCAGAGTCTGAGACTTGGAAGACCGTCATGATAAATCATCATTTGCAGCTCACACAAAGGGTTTTTGGGCACCTAAAATGATGCGTCACAGGAGGAATTTTACCTGAAGCATGGAGAGAGGTGGACAGACATGTTCTTATGCCTCTTCTCAAAACGGTTGTACTTGCGGATGTAATGCAAGTAGTCCCGCCTGATGACAATGGTCCTCTGCATCTTCATCTTGGTCACCACACCTGGAAAAAGGTGACAGCAAATAAGTTCACATGCAGTATATCGATTGGCCAGCAAAGAGAGTCTTTTAAAGGGATAGTTCACCCAAGAGTGAAAATTCTGTCATTTACTCACCCTCAAGTTGCTCCAAACCTGTAAGAATTGACTTCTGCTGAACAAAAGATGATATTTTGAAGAATGTCAGTAACCAAACAGTTTGATGGGCCCAATTGACTTCCATTGTATTGACTTCTTGTGTGTTCAGCAGAAGACAGAAATTCCTACAGGTTTGGAATAACTTGAGGGTGAGTAAATGACCATTTTAATTTTTGGGTGAATTATCCCTTCAAGAATGTCTTTGATTTCCAAAATGACAAAGATATACAGGGAGGCATCAGTAAAGCCATTAGGCACTATCCTCAAAACCCAAACGGTTCAGAAGACCATCGTGATAAGACATCATCTGCGCCCCAATAAAACTACAATTACTCCACAAAGAACTACAAAGACTCACCGGACAGAATCCGGCCTCTGATGGACACGTTTCCAGTGAAAGGGCATTTCTTATCAATATAAGTGCCTTCAATAGCCTGTGGAAGTAAAGCACAAGATGTTTAGTCATTTGAAATCAATTTAGGGTACATAATGGAAGCATATTGAACTGCATCAGCATTGCCTTAAGGCTGTATCCTCAGAGCTCTCCTGGAGTCTAGGAAGACCGTCATGAAATAACATCATTTGCAGTGAAAAGTTACGCGTACATGCAAACACAAGCTCACCTCTCTGGGGGTTTTGAAGCCCAAGCCAACATTTCTGTGGTAACGTGGGAGCTTTTCTTTGGCACTTCCTTCAACAGCCAAAACCCGCTTCTTGTTCTGGAAGATGGTGGGCTGTTTCTGATAAGACCTCTCGTTCTGAAACAGAACACAAGCACAGAGTCAGTCATGTTCCTTACAAACCAATGGATGTTGATATGTTCAAGAAACATAACAGACTTAAACATCACGAATAACGGACATTTGGATGTTTTTGACTAAGCATCAAAAAGGCTTTAACAAAACATTTTAGGGATTTCATGCTGCATCAGAGAAATGCCATAAGGCAGTGTCGTCAGAGCCTCACAGACTTGGAAGACCGTCGTGATAGTTATCATCATTTGCAGCTTGATGCCTATTTGGAGCATGTGTTCAAATCCACAAAAAGTGCTTTTGGACAGAAGTGGCATATCTAACTGCATCAGTATCTCCATAAGGCAGTATGATGAGATTTAGAATATCCTCACCATTAAAAGTAAAGCTTTCCATGTGCTGGAGTTGCTTTGCAGATAAATTCAGTTATTTTAATCACTCAACGAACCTGATTCAGGGTACTAAAACAACTGTAGTCCATATAAACAGTTGCATGTTTAAGAAGTCACATTCTGTTGATATGGTAAAGAAAGGCCGCCCGCGTTTCCGTTCAGCAACGCTTGCCACCAGTTAGCCGGGGATGGAAAACGCGTATTCTAGTCTTATTTATGGTCCATTTCGACATCATTGTCTCCATGGTGGTTTCTTCGCTGTTCATCTACCAGAATTTGTGGCTTTCAACTGAAGTTTAACATGAAATCAAATGAGTTTTCATGACCACGCCGTGTGAACTCACATACCTGAGCGTCCGCCATCTTCGCCACCCGAGTCGTAAAGAGGACTACACATGCGCGAGACGGACGGAAGAGAGGCTTTCGCGGATATGACGACAAATTGTGGGCGTGGTGACTGACCTAACGTTTAATCTGATCAAAGTCCTTAGTCTCTGATCTGATTCAACCAAACTGTTTGCCAAAAGTAATGTATTTTACCGGAGATTATTTCATTATTTACATTTAAACACCTTTAAAAATAGTTTTAATGACAAGTGGTTTGTGCTTCAAGTGGTTGGCGTTACCGTCTGAATTCATTGTTGAAAAGGTATTTAATACTTTTATCCATCATGTTTCTTTGGTGTGCGGTAATTCAAAACATATTTGGTTCACAATTATTATAAATATCGTTGCGTCTAATTGTGCATAATTTAAATACAGTCGAAAAAAACGTCGTACAATGCTACAGAATAAATTTCTGCGTGAATCTGCACAGATGGAGTATGAAAAACAAAGTCAAACTGCAATGACAGTTATATCATAGTGAGTATAAATCGAATAAATAAAGTGGTGAAATTATTATTTGTAGGCCTACGTAATGAACAATTAGTTATAAGTACGACTGGCAAACCGCCAACTCTAATTCATACCATACTAGTTTGAAATGAATAGTTGACATCTGAACCACATATCCCCATAGAATGTTACCAGTAACAAGGGAGTACTTGTCTATATAATCTATATAAAAAGTATGCATTTATGTTTTGTATGGTATTTGATACTTCAGACTTTTATGGTGATAATATGGAGCTCAAACTCGAGGAGGAAAAACACCCCAAATTAACAGAAATGTGCAATTTTGTAGATGTTGTACAATATAGCTTGTAATGTAAATCAATGAGATGTTTATAACAGGCCAAGAACGTTTCCTCTAGTCTAAATCGTTGTTTTATTTGAAGCGTGCTGCATCCGGCTGCATCAGACTCCGGTGACTGACTTCCTCCTGTCGATCACTGATTGACGTCACGCAGCGGAAGCGTTCACACTTATTTTCATGCTAATATGGCAGCGCCGTCGGGTGGAGGCGATACTGGTAAGTGCCGCTTTTATGTCCAAATAATGATTTTCGCCAGTTTTTCCGATTCGTAACTCAGATACCCTACAGAACATCTAGACTGACGTTTTTTATATAGATTAGACTTTATTTATAACGTGAACTGTGAGTTTGGTCAGTGCCGTTCACTGTCACAACACTGCTGTTTGTCTGAAACATGTCTGTACATATACCGACCAGCGGAGGATCCGCCGCACAGAGCTAGCTGCTACTGATTGATGACTTGAACTGAATAAGCAAACCACAGTCTTATTTGGCTGTTTTAAAGTGAGTCGGCTACCCAGACAGTATGTTTGTGCATCATCCGCGTAACGTTACCGAACGAATGTACGAGCATCATACTGGAGCGTTCCGAACTTTCGATATGATGCCTAGAAATACTGTCTTGATAGGCAGCACACTCTGTTTTTAGACACCGCCTCTGTGCTCGTGTGTTGGCCGTCCTCACATGCCCGATACCGCGATGTTGTTGATTTCCAGAAGAGGTGACATCATCGTGTCAGTGATGATCTCTTAGGAGGGGGTAGTAAACACTCACCTCAGCGATAGCTGGCCATTATTATACACGTTTCGAGTTGGGTTGCTGTCTTAAAGGTATAGTTCACCTAAAGATGAAAATTACGTCATCGTTGACTCTTAATTGTATGTTGTTCCAATCCTGTATCACTGTCTTTCTTCTGAGGAACACGTAAAGAGATGCTAGGCAGTGTAACAGCCTCAGTCACTGTTCACTTTCATTGCATCTTGTTCCGTATAATGAACGTGAATGGTCACCGAGGCTGTCATTCTGCCTAACGTCTCATACAGGTTTGGACATAATGACAGAATTGTCATTTTTGGGTGAATTATCCTTTTAAAACGCTCCTGCTGTGTTAATAAAATTGATTTCCATCATGATTTTTTTTTATGTTCCCTTAAAACATAACTGACTGTGTTTACGTGAATAATCGGCAAGAGAGGAATTTAGATTTTTGGTGAATTGCATGGAAACTCAATTTGACCTTTTATACTTTTTTTTCATTTGGGGTCATGAATATGCATGCAAAATGTCTACACTTTAACACCTTCATAGACACAATATTTGTACAGCCATTCCAAAACACATCTAAGTGTAGACATTTTTTTTTGCATGCATATTCATGACCCCAACTGGAAAAAAAAGTATCAATTTCAACTACCAGTGTTTCGAGCAGTTTATTATGGGTCAAATTGACCCAAACACAAAAGGAGTGTTACATACTTAGATACGACCAAAGATGGGTTTTGTTTTGTTTCCAACCTGCGTACTTAGACATCATTTCTAGGTATCATATGTTTGTGACGCTCAAAATGCTGTCTCGGTAGGCAGCTCACTAGTTTTGAGACAGCCTGTATTTGTTATGTTCGTGTCATCAAGTGAAGTTTTAAAGGTTAAGTTCGCCCCAAAATGAATATTCTGTCATTTTACTCACCCTCCTGTCATTCCAAACCCATAAGACTTTTGTTCATCTTCAGAACACAAATAAAGATCTTTTTAATGAAATCGAGAACTTTCTGCCCTCCATTGACAGCTACACAACTACCATTTCAAGCCCCAGAAAGGCAGTAAAGACATTGTTAAAGTAATCCATGTGACCCCAGTGGTTTAACCTCAATTTTATGAAGCGACGTGAGTGCTTTGTTTGTGCAAAAACTTATTTTTTACCACTTTATTTACTAAATCTCCAATTTGTGTTCAGGAGAGCACCACCCACGATGCATGCGTGTTGTGTTGACTCGAGAGCTACGTTGCTGTTTGAACTCGAGTCGGAGATTAATATTTTGTAAGTAGATTTGTAAATTATGCGCAAACAGAGGTTGAACCACTGGAGTCGCATGGATTACTTTTATGTCTATACTACCTTTCTGGGGCTTGAAAGTTGTGTAGCTGTCAATGGAGGGACAGAAAGCTCTCAGATTTCATTAAAAATATCTTTATTTGTGTTCTGAGGATGAACGAAAGTCTTAAGGGTTTGGAACAACGACATGATGGTGAGTGATTAATTTTCTTTTTTGGGTGACCCTTTAAGGTCAGCAATAGAGTTGTGAGATATTTTGACAGAAGTACTTTGTTTTATTTGAATATTCAAATATGTGAACTAATAGTCAAAATTAGTTATTTATGAAATGTGCTCGAGGGATTTAGGTTAAGCGAGTCTCTTTTTTCACTGGACAGCTATTATTAGTTTCTTTACATCAACTTTACTCACTTAGAAACTGAAACCAAATGTGTGCAGAATTATTCACTGCTGTGCTGAGTCATGTAACAAACAATATAGAACAATTCCACTGTCAGATACTTATCTATGGAAGCTTGTTTCCGCCACAGAATAAAAAATAAAAATGATCATTTTGACTTTTTATCTCGCAATTCTGCCAATTTTCTCAGAATTGCATGATATAAACTCGCAATTACAAGTTATGAAGTCAGAATTGCGTGGTTATAAAATCTCAATTGCCAATTTAAAGTCAGAATTGTGCAATATAAACTTTTCCCCCCTCAGAATGGGACTTTATAACTATATCTCATAATTCTGAGAAAATAATTCAGAATTGTGAGATAAAAAGTTGCAATTATCTTTTAAATTGTTTTATTCTGTGGCGGAAACAAAAGTCAAAATAAAGTCGAATATTTTTCCTCCCTTTTTTAATACAAGTGTCTTTTTACTCGTATCGTGTTTTTAATCCTTATTATTTCCTGTCATTTGAAGGCAATGTCGATGACCAGATACTTGCCTTGGGTTCTGCACTTCTCAATAAGTGAGTATCATTTTCTCTCCACTTCTCATTTCTCATGTTGTTTGTTTTTGTTCATTACCTCGGTCATCTCGCCCCTGTCTTGCAGCTTCGTCTATGAACGGGTTCGTCGCCATAGAGATGGTGATGGTGATGCTGAAGTAACCCGGAGTCAGTTGGGTGGCGTTGAGCTGTGTGACCCCAGCCATAAACGTCTTGCGCTGTGTTTGCAGCAGATCGGAGATGAGCTGGATGGAAATACGCAGCTGCAAGGGTAAGTTAGGGTTCCAGCTTGTGGGTGACATAGCCACTATCTCCTGCTGTGCTCAGAAATGCCCACTGGATGGCAGTGTGCTGCAACTCATCCATACATCTTCACTGTCGTTTTGCTGTAGGATGTTAAATGACTCTGCTCTTCAACCGACTCAAGACGTCTTCATGAAAGTGGCCCGTGAGATCTTCTCTGATGGGAAGTTCAACTGGGGCAGGGTGGTGGCGCTTTTCTACTTTGCGTGCCGGCTTGTCATCAAAGTAAAGACCTACGCAAGCTAAGTCTCATATTGAAATAGATTGTTTTGATGTTTTAAATATTCGTCTTTCTTATTCTTGTACTCCTAGGCTATTTTAACCAAGGTTCCTGACATCATCAGAACCATCATAAGCTGGACTATGTCCTACATACAGGAACATGTTGTCAACTGGATCAGGGAACAGGGTGGATGGGTAAGCCATGACAGTGAATTCTTCACTCAATCAGTTCCTTAAAACGATGTGAAATGTCAGTGTCGATGTGATATTTCCACACAGGCCGCAGTGACCTTTACCAAAAACACTGATACCGAGATAAACAAAAGACACAAAACAACATGAACATTTAACTTCCGTAATGTGAAGCTCAATATTCAGGCAGTACTGTACACACACACTACAGTTCAAAAGGTTTGGGGCCTGTAATTCTTCTTTTTTTTCTGTAATTCTTTTTAATTTCTTTTTTTGAAGGATGATTATTTTATTCCACAAGGATGCATTAAATTGATCAAAAATGTCAGTAAAGACTTTAATGATGTTACAAAAGTTTTCTATTTGATCTTTCTATTCATCAAAGAATCCTGAATAAAGTGTATCACGGTTTCCACAAAAAATTAAGCAGCACAGCTCTTTTCATGATGCTGATGAAAATTCAGTTTTGCATCACAGGAATAAATTACTTTTTAAAATATATTAATCTTATATACAATTAATCTTAATCAATTGTTTTTACTGTATTTTTGATCAAATAAATGCAGCCTTGGTGACTGAGCATAAAAAAAAACATTTAAAAATTGTATCGACCACAAACTTTTGAATAGTAGTGTTATACTTTTGGATTTGGTTTAATTGTTTGACAGAATTTATTGGTTAATATTATCTACCACACCCATTTGTCTTTGATTATGTCAGCATAGAAATGTAATGGAATTTCTGAATTAATAATACATTTATCTTTTTTTTTAAGTCACTTTGAAAAATGTATAAAAAAAATGAAAATAATGATGAATATGTGTGTTTTCAAGATTACTTAAATTATTTAATGAAATGTGTATAAAAGCACACATTTCATCAAATAATTTAAGTAATCTTGAAAACACACATATTCATCATTATTTTCATTTATTTTGTGTATATTTATGTATATGTGTATATATATATATATATATAAAAAAAAATGTAAATGGGTAGTCATGAATACAAGAATAACTTTTCTAAGTAGCCTTTTCTTAAAGGCTTTTTCCCCCCTTTCATTATCATGTATACACTCTTATCTGTTATTGACTCTTATATCAATTTTTTTTTTTTTTTTAAAGCGGATGTAATTTTCTCTGTATTAAATTCTCTTCCACTCTTGCCATCTGAAACATCCCATTTCTTCTCCTTCAGGAGGGAATCCGCTCCTATTTTGGGACCCCCACATGGCAAACTATCGGGGTTTTCCTGGCCGGAGTTCTCACCACAGTAGTGGTGATCCGCAAGATGTGAGCACGAGGACTTGTAAGAAGGTGGAGATTGAGAGAAGAGAGAGTTAAGACAGTGAACAGAGGGTGAGACAGACCAGCAAAAGAGAACGGAAAGATGAGGGAGGGGGGGTGGAATAGAAAGGAATTTGAAAAGAGAAAGACAAATAAGAGAGTTGAAAATGACATCAACTCACCGAAAGAGAGAGAGAAGAGGAGGAAAGAAAGAGCATGATGCAGATGTCTTGAGCCACTCTTGTTACTCCTGAGCCTGTACCCTTTCTCATCTACAACTTATAACATTTGCACTGAAAAACGAGAGATTAATGCGCAAGAGTTCAGGTTTAGGCTTAATTTTAGCTATTTATTCTTAGTATGGGGTTATGGGTATCTAGGTTATATAAAATACTTTATTGGTATTTGATTTAATTTATTAACATTGTTCTGATTTAGGAGTCATATTTTTATTTTTTATTTTTCAAAGTGAGTAATGACAGTCACAGTTGCATTTAATAATAAAATATATAATAGCTCATAAGTGTTGAATTATTGTAATATCTGTCTCTCTTTTTTTGAGCATACCATCTGTCATCTGAAAGAGTAGGAATGGGCTCAGGCTGTTTTTTCTGCTATTTGAATTTCTCCTCTTCCTCATTCCTCCTCTTCTTTCATAGTTCACCAGTTCATCGCAGCAGGGGCTAAGAAACATCAACGAAGTTGATTATACTTGAAGGTACATTTTTAGCCGTTTATGAAGTGTTTGCAGCAGCGTTTGAGCAGTGCAACTAACCAATCAGCACTCTGGTTGCAGTATGTGGGCGTGTCTTAGTTTGCGAGAGCGCCGAGACCCTCCTACAACAGGGATGGACAATACTAGTGATTCTTAAATGCATTAAACTTCTCTGAGCCATGAAGACAGCGTTTTTTACAGAACCAAATATTTTCCTTTTCGAATAGTGGAGGGTCCTGCTTGACTATCAAAACACTTAAATAGTTCCACATAAGGGGACTTTGCGAAAAGCAGTAAGTTTCGCTTGCGCTGGTGCAAACATTCTGTGTTTAAGTGATCGCGCATGGGCAGACTCATCTCAGACTTAACAGACAGATCAGTTGAGATCTTCCCCTCAGCAAAGTCTTCTTAGTACTGTATTTGAACCATGGTTAGTCAGACCCACAGTCCTACCTTTACATGCAATTGTTCTTTTTATGTACTTGTTTCTTTCTCTTTTGGTTGTTTGGATACGGTTTCTTTTATTTTTGATTCTTTCGTTGACAGTGCCTTGGCCTTTTTATGATACTAGCCACCCCTTTTACATCTTTTTCTACATCTTTGTAAAATGGTATCAATTGTGCACCCTAAGGCAGTCTATGTGCTGTGAGCCCATGAGTTTGTTTTGTAAGATGTAAAATGAAACAATAAATTGTTTTTATGGATTTCAATTTAAACGTGTGGTGTGTGTTTTGATTTTTTGACGCAGCTACTCTTTATTATAATTTATTTTCCACATTTTAAAATAATGGTAAAAGCATCAGAACTATGAAATAACAAACAAAAGTATGGGAATTATGTAGTGAATATTAAACAAAGAAAACTATATAGTATTCACTCTGGGTTTATTTAAGGAGACTTCATGAGGTGCATCCTGGGATGTTTCTAAAACGCTGGACACTTGTTAGCTGTAATACATTTCCCATACATTTGTCTGCAAAATAATTGGAAGCATTTAAGAATAATCCTTGCCTTTAAAATATCTTTGAAATCATGAAAAACAAATGTAGCTTTGACTATATAGGGTTTTTTTTTTTTTAATTAAAACTATTAAACATTTTAAAGTTAAAATAAAGCTGAAATAAGATGTAAATATTAAACCAAAAAATAAGTTAAGTCACTGATCTAGATAAATCATATATCAGTGGTTGAAGTACTAAAATTACTTTATTTAAATAAAAAAACTAATAGAAATGAAAAAAACATAGCAAAATAAATTAAGATAAAAAAAAATTTAACTGAAATTTAAAAATAAAAGCTAGTAATACTAAAATAACACTGATGTAATGTTGATCTGTTTTGTAATGTTGACATGTTCCAGCTATTTTACTATTTTAACTATTTTACTTCCGACATTTGATTGACTTCTAAATAATCAATAAGCTTAATCAAGTAACGCTTTCAAGCGCAACAATCCTGAACACATCTATTATCAATCATAGATAATTGAGACAACTGCGAAAAAAATGTAAAGAATTAGTTTTTATTGAATCTTTAAAATGCAGATAAACCATTCATAGCGAGGAGATCAGTGATTATTTTGAATTTTGATGTGCATCTTAATGTCCCACAGCTCAACCATATTGACATTGTAAACTAATTCGTAAGTGCTTAAGGTTTAAAGCATACACTTGATTGACTAAAGGCCTTTCAATCTTGCCGTTAATCATGAAATGACTCCATGAAGGCCCATGATGATCTTCACAACACGGCACAAAAAATACCTGCATAGTCGGTTAAAACTACTTCAAAATAATAAGAATGTAAACCAATAATATGACAATGGCTCGAAAGTTTAACAGATGAGATTCATGAATACAAGTTCAGTTCAACTTCAATGCAAAGGTATTTTGACTGGAACAGAAACGGATTGAGGATGGAGAGGTCAGTCTCTCGTCTCCAGCACCCCCTCCCTGATCCTCCAGCTCCACGGTAGTTTGCAGTCGGGGGCGAGGGTGCAGCAAGGCTTGTGTCCATACTGACGATAGTGGCAGGAGTCAGGGGCAGGGACACAACGCAGAAACAGGCCGTTCTCTAGGACCTCTTTGTCATGGGGCACCATGCAACCATCCTCTGTTTGCATACTGAACACGTTCTCTGAGATCTGCCCGAGAGAGAAGATATTAATCTCTAGCAAACACAGAGTAATGCAGAAAAAAATGTGTTTTGCATAAACACTATATACACACACACTGTTTACCTGATCGCTGATTCCTCTTGCGATGTGGCCTACTTTCACCCTGGGCGTCTCCCGAATATGAAAACATTTCCCATCAAAGTCCCTGATATAAACATCCACCCCTGAAGAAACAAAGAACAGATGTGAGCATGGCACAAAGAGCCACGATAAATGTTTTCTAAAAATATCTAAAAATGTGTAAATCATGTTCTCGTAGCTTCACTGAGTTATGTGCCAATATGTGACAAAAGCACTGGTTTATACCAAAAAAAAAAAAAGGATTTGATTAAAAATGGAACATGTACATTAGACCTAGACCTGATATTGTTGATAATAATGAAACTGCAGTTGATTTCATTTTTTTTTATTTTTTATTAAAGGATTAGTTCACCCAAAAAAAACAAAAAAAATTCTGTCATTAATTACTCACCCTCATGTCGTTCCAAACCCGTAAGACTTTCTTTCATCTTTGGAACACAAATGAAGATCTTTTAAATTAAATCTGAGAGATTTCTGTCCCTCCGTTGACAGCTACGCAAGTACCACTTTGCCGCTTCAAAAAGTTCATAAAGAGATCGTAAAACTAATTCATATGAATTGAGCGATTTACTCCAAATTTTCTGAAGAGACTTGATCGCTTTATATGATGAACAGATTTAATTTAGGCTTTTATTCACATAGAAACATTGATCAGTGAACATAAACAGAAGCTCAACCGAACCTGCTTGACACAAGAGAACAAACCTCATTGGTTCTTGCTGAAGCTCAATCGTGCTGCATAACACATGATAATGAACCTCATTGGTTCCCGCACGTCAAGCGAACAACGCATAAGCTTCCGTTTACCACAACTGGCGTGTGAGTTGATGAATGTTTGTATGTGAATAAAATGCTAAATTAAATCTGTTCATCATATAAAGCGATCGAGTCTCTAGAAAAATTGGACAAAACCGTTAATTTTTTAAAGACAGAAAGCTTTCAGATTTCCTCAAAAAGATCTTCATTTGTGTCCCAAAGATGAACGAGTCTTACGGATTTGGAACGACATGAGGATGAGTAATTAATGACAGAATATTAAATTTTGTGTGAAATAAGCCTTTAAACATAAATGAAAAACCTTGAGAAATACTTAAAATCTAAATTACTGTTCAGAAATAAGTTTTTGACCAGTAATTTCTTTCACGCAAGGATGCATTAAATTGATCAAAAGTGACAGTAAAGAAATTTATGTCACAAAATATTTATATTTCAAATAAATAATGTTCTTTTGAACTTGCTATATTAAAAGAATCCTGAAAGAAAAATGTACCACGGTTTGCACAAACATATTTAGCAGCACAACGGTTTTCAACATTGATAATAATAATAAGAAATGTTTCTTGAGCATCAAATCTTCATATTATAATGATTTTTGAAGGATCATGTGACACTGAAGACTGGAGTAATGATGCTCAAAATTCAGCTTTGAATTACAGGAATAAACTACATTTTAAAATATAGTTTATATATAAGAGTGATTTTGTAATACTATTTCACAATATTACTGTTTTTACTGTATTTTGGATCAAATAAATGTAGCCTTGGGGAACATAAAAGAGACTTCTTTCAAAAATCTTACCAACTCCAAGCTTTTGAGTGGTAGTGTACGTACCAGTGTTGTTTTTGGCAGCCCTTTTAATTTTAGTCTTAGTCTTTTGGACGAAAATGCTTTTAAGTTTTAGTCACATTTTAGTCACTTATAAACTTAATAGTTTTAGTCAAGTTTTAGTCGACGAAAACACAAAACGGTTTTAGTAAATTTTTAGCCTGACTTCGTCATACTAGTCAGAATGTGAGTCTGATACTGCTCCATAGATTTGCTCTGAAAGTTAGTCTGGCAAAGAGCTCATTCAAGCCCATTTCCAATCTGTCGAAATCGAGGCACCAATCAGAAACGTTGGGGCGGGCTTTACACGATGACGGCAGCGCTGGGATTTTGAAGCAGATTTTTTGTAGCCTACATTACAAAGATGGATGCCGCCGTCGAACATCACTCGTTCGAATCAGCTATCGCGTCTGTTTTAAGCGATTTGAACGTTTCCTTTTTGTTAAAAACCGAGCAAAGAACAACACTCGGAGAAACTCTCTGCATACGTCATCTCCTTCATCGCTCTGATTGGTTTTAGGTCTATCCGCGACGTCCGTTGGTGACGCCCCTCTGGAAATGATTTGTCTATGACGCTTTGCCAGACCATAACTCAGTTAAAAATGAAAATGGTCTGGTTTTAACCAGGCTAGAATCCCGTAGGAAGGACGGCAAACACATCTTTCCGATCGACAAATGCCTTGATTGCAGTTCTCTGTTCTTCTTTTAAAATTAATGCGCTGTCGATTTCTTATGTAACTGCAGATCATCTGTCCATCATCGTATAAAGCCCGCCCTGGCAATTTGATTGGCCCGACTAGTGCTGCACGATTAATCGTATCGCAATCGTAATCGCGATGTCAAACCTATGCGATTATATAACGCAAAATGCCGCGATTTTATATGAAATAAACAAATTAGGGCTATTAACACCGCATCTCTTCTTTTTTGTCATCCTTTAGTGTTACATGATCCCGCTCTTATTCGTGCAAATGCCTAAAAAACATTTTGCACGACAAGAAGTCAAAAGAGAGCGCGCTGCCTGTGAATGTCCTGAATGTGACTCACAGAAAAACGCGCGCCAGTATAATGCGCATGCACAGACCGCGTGCCAGAATACAGTTCTCTTTCGAGTTTGAACGAACAATAACACACACAATTATGCCAAAATGTCGTTTTGTCGATTATCTTCATAACATAAGAGCAGTCTTATGATGGACGAAAAGAGTTGTGCTTGTGAGAGAATGAGGCGCGTGTGAGATCCGCGTCTCAGCAACGGCTGCTCTTAAAGGGCCAGCAGCGAATAAAGCGTTCCCTCAGTAAAGTTAATCAAAGAACAAAGGGAACAGAAAATTACTCACTGCCCTTGACTAAAGAAGTTTTGTAGCTTTAATAAGGATTAGTCTATATATAATTTATAATTCATGCAGCGCAGACTGTTTGATAACTTTATTCAATTTCTGTATATATATCTGTATATAAATCCTCAATCCTACCTGTTAAGACAGGAAGGGCACAGGTAAATATGGCATTTATTATGGGTTTATGTGAGGATTGTTTGAAGTTCACTTAATTTAAAAGCTGTTTTTTTTTTAAGCCTAATAAATATTTTAAAAGTTGATAGCTTTCAATTATACTGATGGAATCACTGTAATGTTGGATGGCTATAATTAACGTTTAAAATGTGGGGGGTGTCGTCATTTTTACATCAATGGCTTATTGATCATTATAGGTGTTATCAATCATTTAGTTGTTGTTGCTAGTTTGAGTTGAGAAATACACATTAATACACAGAATGATCACTAATCTGTGTGTGCATTTTACTTTAGAACCAAGCAAGTTGACTCATGAAACCATTTGTTTATTATATCGCAATCGCAATATTGACCTCATTAATCGCAATATGACATTTTCCTCAAAACAGACAGATTTCACGCAAAATAGGCAGAAATGACATGTAGGGGTGGGCGATATCTCGATATTTAAAATATATCGAGATATTTTTTAAACACGATATGGATTTTGACATTTCGTATATATCGATATATTGTTTATATTTAATCCTGATTTCGCCACTTTGCTTGTTTGCCTTCTCTGTGCTGTGCTCGCCCCCGCCTCCTTGCTTTTGTTCCCCCTCACCTCGCGTGTTGTCTCATTCAACAATTGTCTCATCCGCAACCAGCCCGGAGGCTACAGAACTCCGAGTGTGTCTGCGCGCGAGCGACAGAGCACGAGAGAAACCGAGTGTGAGCATTAATTGCATTAGTAAATTGGTAGCCTACATACTACAATATATAATTACTATATAAGAGGCATGGAAGTTCGATTAATGGACTCCAGTAATCAGAAGGCTACTACAAACGTCTTGTTTTAAACTATTGCAGGGCTCGAATTTCGGCGCGGGTATTGCGCATAATTCTAATCATTCCCGCAGGTCTCCCATTTATAATGCGGGAAATTCCCGCAATCGTAATCCACACAGATTATAAAATCAAATCATTCTTTTAACAACTATCTGCCAGACGCAATTTCACAAACAGCGTGAGTGTTCAGCGGTGCCGCTTCTTTCTCGTCTAATGTGTTGTGCAAGGCAAGCATCAAGCGCTGCGGCGATAAAACACACTCGCGTTTAGGAGTCGGGACATGATGGATATTCACTCGCACAATCGGGCCAGCAGTGCATCGTGACTGAAGTTTACCATTTGCACGTCTTTTTAAGTCTTACCAGTTTAAACATTCAAGCGATTTTAAACTAATCAGTGCTCGCGCGCTCTCTGAGAGATTATTTTCTATGCGCACATTCATAGAAAATCCGCCTTAAGAACAGCTGGCCAGTAACAAAAGTTATTTTTCGCGGATTATATTGCTTTAACACGCAAAATTGTCAATTTCGGTCGTCGTGAGTATACTCTAAACATAGTCGGTTTTGTCTTTAATAAGCATAAAACGCATGCCAGTATAATGAACACAGGATCCGTGCACTACCTCTTAAAGTACCGGCAGCCATATGTGTGTCATTCATTTTGTTGTCAATACAACAAAAGATAGCTTTAAGTTAAAGGAATCAGGATTAATAACCTATGTATTTAATTTATTCAGGACTAAAATTCTACTCAGTGTTATTTTCCATTTGATTACTTTATTCAGTTTCTGTATAGGAATCACGTGATTAATAATGATGACGAAATTCAGGCCCTGTGTTTAATTTTTCTCATTTGGTTACATTCTGTTATGGAAAATTAATTTTCTATTGATTATAGGCTTATATTTTGAGTTGTATTCACATCCATTTTCCTGTAAAGATATCGAGATATATATCGAATATCGAGATATAGCAAAATATATCGAGATATATTTTTTGCTCCATATCGCCCAGCCCTAATGACATGCATTGTGAACGTCAGACTTATAATCATTTTCGTTCCGTCACTCGAAAACGTCTCGTCATGTTTTAGTCACCGTAGAGCCATTTTTAGGTAGTCATCGTCGCGTTATCATCATAAAAAAAAGTGCGTCAACGAAATCATTTTGTTATCGTCATCGTTGACGAAAACAACATTGTAGTGTACATGCCATTGTTTTAAGTTAATTTGTTAATATTTATACTATTATTTAACTTTAAATAAAGTGTATTTGATAGCATAATATTTTGTTGCAGTGATATTGAGTATTGTAAAATTTCACTGCCAAACCGTTTGTTATGTAATGATGCTTTGCATTTCTCTGAAGTAATGAGGATTTGTTCACACACCCTCAAAGCAGCGGGGCGGAGGTTGATGCGTGGGGGCGAGCCAGTCCCTGCTGAAGCTCTGGACATCTTGGCTGTTGTAGGAAAACACGCCTGAGCTGTCGTCATCGCCAGCGCCGACTGACCAACGTCCTGAATCCTGGAGAAAAAAGAAGAAGCGTGAAACCCTTTGAATTTCAAAGAAGTTGTTATTGGTCAAAGTGAGATGCTCTAACAGCTGAGAGTTGACAGGAAGTTCGGTCTTAACTATCACTCTTAATTACATTTTACCGTATTTACTAGACATGCATCAGGTTAGAAGGAATTACAGGCTGCCTCATATCCAGCATTCTGAACTTGATGCCTGGGTTTGTTTACCTTTTTGTCGCCGTATTCTCTAGTGGAGAGGCAGTCGCTACTGAGACAAGAGAGCAGCTGCTCCTGTATCTCAGCAGAATGAGGCTGGGAGAGACTACTCAGGAAAAAATCTGCAGAGAGAGAGAGAACAAACTGAATGTTACAATTATAATCTGCAATGCTACGGTTCCGAATGAATATTAACAAGCAGCTTGTTTCCATCCACATATTTCTGATGCTAATTATCAAGCGTAGCGTCAGTTCTGGCAGGTCACGTTAGTCAAGCTCGCATCAGCTGATACACGTCTACCTATAGGAATACGACGCCTATCACTGTATACATATATAAGCTCCTTCAGTATTATCGGCAGCTATCGCGTTTCTCAGGAGCGCATTACCCTCCTCCATCCACAGCTCCTCTTCTCGTCAGTCAGGATTTGGCATTCTGATTCCCCTTAAATCAGAATAAATTCTCGAATTATGTTGTACTTTAAAATCTTGAATTAATGACATCTGCTATACATTCATGTTGGTTCTGTTCTGTTTACCCTAGGGGGGGTTATTGCTGCTCTTATCCATGCTAGGCTGCATGGATGCGCAGGGAGTTCTCGCCCAGAACAGAACCATACCACCAATCCAAACTGTATGCTAATCGTATTTGACGATAGTGGTCCTGACAGAAATGGGATATGACATAGAAAAAACCCCCACTGGAGACACCAAGAGGCAAATTAAATTTCCAAAATAAACAAAAAATGTTCCTTTGAGGTGGATCAATTTTTATTTCTTACGAAGACATGTGGATGAACATTTACGGAACGGATTTACGGAATAAAACGTCAAAAAAAAAAATCTCATCTGACATTTTACGGTTATTTCTGAACCCGCACGTAATGTATTACACACTACCGTTCAAACATTTGGGGTTGGTACGATTTTTTTAAAGTTATTTTATGCTCACCAAGTCTGCATTCATTTGAATATCACATGATCGGATGTGATGGGCTGCTCACCTATCTCCAGTCTCCGCATCTCTTGTTCTGGCTTGGTTTTATTGATGATTGGCAGCTCAGGTGAAGTCGCCTGAATGTGACGCAGTGATTTCGGAGGAGAGTGGTCATCGTTTCTTGTCTCCTCTGCGTTTTTCCTCTGCTTTACCCTGTGTGGTTTGTCATTACGTTCCCCATCATCACCCTCTTTCTTCTGCTCTGAGCTCATCCACTGCAGCTTAGAGTTATGAGAAGATGTGGCGAGGTGGGATGGGGTGGGTGTGGCTGAATGGGCGGGGTCTGATTTCTCTGGCTTTCCCAGTGGCTTCTTATAGGTTCCTCCTTTCACAGGGCTGCGAAGTCCCCCGACTGCAAATAAATTGAAGACATTTTTAATTGTATAATATTTAATATTCAGACATTTGTGTGTTGTATGCTTCTTTATTGGTACCTTCTTTAAGTGCTTTAGCAGTTTTAACGGCGAGTTCCTTGGCAGAAGCTCGTTTGATTGGATCTTTCTGCAGTCCTGCTTTTATTATATTAGCCGTATTGGAACTGCAGTCACGTGGGATTTCCCTTAGTGGTGGAGGCTCTGTTGCTATCTGTCACCGTGCAAACAAACAATATTTCTTAAGTGTTTAGTGAATGTAAATCATATAGGTATCATAAAACACTGATTAAAATTAAATGTGACTTTAAAAGTGTGAGGGCCTTATTTGGCCTCATTTCGTTAAATGATTTCCAATCATAGTCTACCTTGAGGAAGAGTGGGCGGGAATAGTAGCGTGTCCATGGATGACAGCCATTGAGCATGTGCAGAAGCATACAGCAGCTGCTCCAGATGTCTGCTTTTGAAGAGCGGGGCTCATTGAGCACCACCTCAGGTGCCATATGGGTCTCTGTGCCTTTCAGCCCTAAACACATACCTAATTAGTTGCTCAACTCATGCATGTCTATATTCACTTGAAATTTGTTTGAGGTACTTACCCTGACCCTCACTAAGCCCTTGTTTGCCTAATCTCTCTGAATGCCCAAAGTCACACAGGAACGCATCTTTCCCATCTTCTGACAGCAAAACGTTATCCGCTGAAAATAAAACACAAACATGAGTACACACACACACACACACACACACACAAAAAAAAAAAAAAGACAGTAAAGTATTTATCTGAATAATAACTTGGAAAAGCCCTGAGAAATACATAAAAGCTAAACTACCATTCAGAAAGGCTTGGACCAGTTGTTTTAGTTTTTTTTCAAAAGAAATAAATTGTATTCAGTAAGGACGCATTAATGTTATTTCAAATAAATGCTGCCAATAATGCTGTTTTTACTGTTTCAAATAAATTCAGCCTTGGTGAGCATAAGAGACATTCAAAAACATGAACAAAATCTTACCGACCCCAAACTTTTGAACAGTAGTGTATTTGAGTGAAACAAGCTATTCAAATATATTTCTCGCCTCCCGAAACACCACCAGCCCCCACTTTTGAGTCTTCATTGAGAAATGGAGGCAGAAGTTTAAGATCATCCTCAAGAGTATCATGATGATGCATCACAATGATAGTGATTCAGCTTAAAAGTGATCATAATTTGCTATTATTTCCATAACCTTTAGTACATTGACATTAAACTTCACAGACACGGCCTAGATTAAGCCAGGATTATGCATTAGTTCAAAAAGGTCATTTAAGTGGCTTTTTTAAACGTGCCTTAGAAAAAAACATTACTGTTGTGCATCTTGAGGCAAAACAATGGCACTGACATATTTTAGGATATCTACAAGTTGCTTTCAGTTTAAACAGAGCAAACATGCATTTTAGTCTGGGACTAAACTTAAGCCTTGTCTGTGAAACTGGGCACTAATAACTATTGGTAAGATTTCAGAATGGGAGCAGTACCTATAAACATAGCAGCACCTACCGACGCAAAAGTAAGCTATTTTCTGTGAATGTGCCAGACTTCAGATTCATTAGCCGAATAACAAAGCGCAGAAAATGATAAAACTATTTCCACTACAAACTAATGTATGTATAATTACGACCACACATTAAAATAATGTGGTAAGAAATACCAGTTTGCAATATCAAGCGGCATAACAAGCTGTTTTCCAATGGGCACATCTGTTCCCATAAGTCTCTACTCTAAAAGGGGCGATTGGCCGGTTCCAGTAAAAGTCAAAATTGGAGTGCGACAGACTTTCGGTTTCTAAATTGCAAACCACAACTTGTCGACTGAAGAAAATAAAAGACAAGATTAAAACTCTGATAATCAATGAAATGTAGAATATTTGGACAGCAGATGGCGCTGTAGATGTCAGAGTAAAAAAGGTTGGTTTTACTGTTTGCTTGAATTTAACCGCCTTTTAATCAATTTGAATGGATTATAAAGACATAAAGCTCCTACATAAATCTATGGTGTCCTTATGCATTAAACATGGTCACTTCTTCGATCCGTGTCTTGTTTCTTCAGTGCCCCCCCCCCCCCAATCTGAACCACATGAGTCATGCTGTGGGAAATTCCCAGCCCTGGGCTGCTCACAATGTACTCTGATCTCTCTCTTTCTCTCTCGCTGTCTCTCTCTCACCACAAGTGCTGTTTGCCTCACCCCATTCTATTGAAAAACAACCAAACCCAGCCACAAACACACAATATTAGAATAAGCTTCTTCAACTGCATATCTGTAATTCTTCAGATTGTGATTATGGCTTTATGACAATTTCTTTGAAAACTTGTTTCTTACAGCATTTTCTGTTGTAACCTTGAACAGAACCAACCCAGAAGGCCATTTTATTGCTCATATACTGCTCATATGCTCTTTTATAGCTAAGGAGGCCTGAAGTCCATCAGTTATGGTTCATTTAAATGTTATGTTATTTTATTTTGTATTATGTTATTTACTTTTTATATACTATTAAAGTATTTATTAATTAGCATTCATTTTTATATTTTCAGTTTTCATTTCAATTTTAATTTAAGTTTAGTAATTGTGTTATGTGCCTTTGTCCTTTTTATCAGTTGTATTAGGTTTTTATTAGGTTTAATATTTTTTTGTACATTTTTTTTTACCCATTTTTGTAGTTATTTTATTTCATTTAGCTGTGGGTTTTAATCTATTATTTTATTTAACATTTTATTTTGATAACAGAAAACAATTTTTAACAGTTTTAGTTAACAATAACAACACTGGTTCACGTGTGTATCAACTTTGTCTGAAGTGTATCTCCTAAAATTTACATTGAGGTAACTTGAAGAACTGACATACAATTTTGGAAACTTTTTATTGTTCAGTTATGAGAAACTTGTTCATATTGAGATGTCTGACTTTTGGTATCTTGGAAAATCTGAACACATGTGGAGACGTGAGATTACCAGGGTAATTTGGTCATTTTACTTAGGAAAAAAATCTTTGAAATAGGAGACACAAGCAAAAGTCTCAATTTATTCAGCATTTAATCTCAATTGCTGTCTATTAATGACATCTCACTTGATTTTTCATTTCTGTATGCAGTTTCCAAAGAACTGTGAAACCACTGAAGGAAGTGAGATCAAAAAAGGGATGTCCATTTTCCACATAGATGATGTGAAGACATGTTAATGTTAAATGTTAATATCATGTCATCTTTCCACATAAATTAAATGGAGACAGTCTGGCTTAGTGAAGAAGAGAGGACAGAACAAATGCTCAAGCGTTAGACTTGTTTATAAGACTCCACCTAGCTTCCACTCTTATCGACCAATCAAATGCTTCAAGGCCTTTTTAGCTATCCAGCCTACATTCTGCACGTACCTTTGATGTCCAGGTGAAGGACGCGTTTCCTATGCAGGTGGTTTAGCGCCCCCAGTACTTGCTGAAGGTAGTGCAGGGACAGATCCTCTGGCAGGCGGCCTCGTTCCTCCACCAGCTGTCCTAGAGAACCTGTGCAAACAGAGCAGATCAAACTTTCCATCTCTCCACTAGAGACTTCCTGTGTGCAGTACACCAGAGATGCCAAATAATGAACTAAGCAATGGCTGAGGAAATAAGGATGTTGTTTGTTGCATGTCTACGACTGCGCTTCTGAGTTCTTACTGGATTTGAGGTCCATGAAGAGGATGATGGACAGACCTTCACGAACCACCCCAAAAAGTTCCACCACCTGAGGAGACTGCAGGGCACTCCACGAGCCCACCTCCTCACTGCTGAAACTCACCAACGGCACCTGAAAACACAGGATCAAGGAATCAATGAATGGAAAACTAAATGCACCTGAATATCAGCAGCGCCATAGGCCAGAGGAATAAGCTGGACACAAAGGAGGTCAGAAATACCTTTTTGGCAGCACACATGAACCCAGTGCCTTTGTCTTTAATGCTGTAGACCTCTCCAAAGGAACCCTGCTTGACAAATCGACAGCGTTCGTACTCCCGTCCCTCTCTGTACTCATAATTCACCGGTTGTAGCCCCTATAAAGTTACACAATGACGTTATCAATGCTGATTGGCCAATACAGTGTTCTTCCAGCCATGCTACAATATTTTTGGTTATACTATTTGTTGTCATCTAACATTCACTTAAAGTTAATCTTTAAAAAAAATACAAATAATTTAATAAAACTGTTAAATGTGATCTTTAGTAAATCTCAAACTGAATATCTGTTTTTCATAATGTATTTTATAATGTTGTGATTCCTAAATAGTTATTTTATTAAGACAAAACAGTATAGAATTATAGAGAGGTCTCTCATGCTCATGCTAAGGCTGCATTTATTTGATCACAAATACAGTAGAAAATGAAATAATATTGTGATTGTGACATATTACAATTTAAAGTGTTTTCTCTTTTTATATTTTAAAGTGTAATTTATTCCTGTGATGTCAAAGCTGAATTTTCAGCATAATTACTCCAGTTTTCAGTGTCACATGATCCTTTAGAAATCATTATAATATGATGATTTGATGCTCAAGAAACATTTATTATTATGATCAATGTTGAAAACAGTTGTGCTGCTTAATATTTTTGTGGAAACTTTGATGCATTTTCTTCAGGATTCTTTGATTACCAACAAATTCAAAAGAACATTATTTATTTGAAATATAAATCTTTTGTAACATTATAAATGTTTTTACTGTCAGATTTGATCAATTTAATGCATCCTTTGAAAAAAAAAAAAAAAAGGTCTTGATTTCTTAAAGAAATTACTGACCTCAAACTTTTGAATGGTAGCGTATAGCTAATCTTTAAATAAAACTCTTCACTTCAGCCTTTTTATTAATCTTTCATAATGTGCCTTAAAAATATTGTAATGCCTAAATTTACTTTATAAACTACAATTATTTATTTTGCTGTTTTATTTTATTTTTTAAACAAAGTACTGTACATGTATGATTTTTTTGACAAATGACAAATCCCTGACGGATGCATCTTTATTATATAAAACGGTTCAATAGAATTACTGAAAATGTCTAGAATTTCGAAATGTCAAACTAAAGCACATGACTAGCACAGTAAGTGTACGAAGATGTTTTTTACTGTTTGCTTATTTCTCTTTGTAAAGGAAACTCCCTAAGCAGAACTAGGCTGGTGAGGTAAACATGAAACACTGCTGAACGCAAGAAAAACAGGAAATCGACGACCGCAAGTCAACTTCTGGCTGTGTACATGCAGGCAAGTGTGCATGTGTTTCTCACTCTCTCTCTCTCTCTTCCTCTCCGTATTAGTATTCTTTTGTTGTCTTTATCTGTATTGTCGGGTTGTGTGTGCTTGTATGACTTTTAGGCTGTGTACTCGTATGTAAATTTGTATCTTAGCGTGCAAGAGAACCCATCTATGCATCACGCACTTTCGGTCTGAGTTCATCCATGTGTCAATTTCAACATGCCTTTCGCCATATGTTTTAATTGGCATTTAAAATCACCTCTTTGAACAGGATCCCTTCGTTCTTGTCGCTCTCCTCTCTTTCGTCCTCATCTCTCTCCCTCTCCTCTCTCAGCACATCTTTGAAAAAGCTATATGCAAAGCAGGGATCTTCGGTTGTAACATAGTCCCTCAGGGCCGTAACAGCCAGGAATTCGAACTTGCTTCTCAGTGGAGACTTCAGCTCCTCACTCTCTAGCGCATAGCTTTGACAGGAGGTCTCCCACTGATGGTACGACGGACCCTCTGTTTCCTGCACGGACACCCTCTCCGTGCTGAGGCCACTGCTGCTGTATGTACTGCTACTGTTGCTGATGCACACTGGGTCTCTAACCTGAACCAAGAGGAAACAACAAAGGTGACTGGACTTGATTAGTGAGAAAAACACTTGAAAGCAATGTATAAAATCAATGCAGATTAATGGGGGGAAATCTGTTTGGGTCTGTAAAAGTCTCCCTTAGTTTAAGTGCTTCAAGCCTCTAGGGAGAGGTAAAGACATGACTCAGTATTTAGCTAATCACTGGATTTCCTCTGGGACATTACCACCTAACAGCTGAGGCAACAGCCAAGTCTTAAATTAAATCAAAAGACTTTATATAAATTCAGTTCCAAAACATAGTGAGCTTCCTGCCTAGGTTACATTTTTAGACATCAGAACCATTTTTTATTCACTACAGAAAAGTCAATAAAAAATGTGCCATTTTATTAAAAATGCACACATTTAGTCAATGTTAGGTTATTAGCTTTGTAGTGCTTATTAGTTTCATACTAATTGTTGTTTTAGCAACTGCTAATAATCTGCTAATGCCAGATTCTTCTAGATTAAACTGCTTAGTGCATTAACAGGCCGTTTACACCAAGAATGAAAACTAAATATAACAATTATGGTAACTATATTAGTGTCCACACCAACAAGCAATAACGTTTTGATTATTACAAGTGTGCATTGCAGTTATGTCGTCTGCTGCTTTAAATGCACAAGCTTTTTCTGATTGGCTGTCACTGTTTTTATTGTTCAGCTTCTGGGGTCAAAAAATTAGTTTTGAAAGGAATTCCAATGATATTGTTCATCTGTATCATTATTGTTCTTGTTATAGTTGTTGTATGGACTTCTCTATTCACTGTACCAAAAAAAAACTTAAATTCAGTTGCTGCATTCATTTTTTAAATTACATTGGCTGTATACGGTAAATCATTTCAACTTAAATTATATTATTATTATTAAATTATAAGTGACTGTATTACTTATTTAAAAAAATCAAAAATTGCTTAACTTATTTTGATGAGTTAAAGTAAGGTTAAAACATATGTTGTTGTGACTTATCTTTTTTACAGTGTTCTCAAAGCAAAACATCAAAACATCATAGCTATAGTTATCATAATCTGCTTGTTTTGTCTGACTTCACGTTATCTTTTTCGGCTCCAAACGCTCTATCAAATGCCAAAAGCAAACAACAAACAGTTCTAATAAACACTCTCGGTGTGCTGTACTACTACTACCAAAAAAAATCATTCATCTTTTTCTATATACTGACATCTCAGTTGGCCAGACAGCGAATCATCTTTTCTGAACCGTTAAAATATTGGTGTTCAGTACACAGTATGTTCAGAGTTTTAAATGCTTTGCTTAAAAGTGTGCTTTGAATAAATTCTGCTCATTCACTGCTGTTTCGGATGGTATTCTCACTTGAAACACAGTGGAGGCGGAAACAGTATTCGATATATAACACAACTTAAGAAGCAAATAGTTATAGTCCTTGATGTGTCCTTGAAAGAGGATTTGGATACTTTCTTTGAGGGTAGCTGCCTATCTAGACAGCAAACATCATGGCAGCACACTAGGCTTTAGAACAAAGCTGTTGCATGTATCGCATATATGAAAATTACACAAATTACAATGAATTCAGTCTAACCTGAATGAGAGATGACGACAGGCACTCGCCGCTGTCCTGCTCCGGCACTCCAGTGACTCCCACGAACTCGCTCGATCGACTGTCCTTCTCACCCTGTCTCCACCGCTGTCTCTTACGACGTTTCTTTCTGGGCCGACTGCGAGAAACGGAGCCAACAGGCGATGTGGAGGAGATAACACGTGGCCCATTTTTGTGGCTGAAATTATGAAAATATATGTAAGTTGTAGTGATATATTAATCCCTGGTATTAAAAGAATACATAATGAAACATGTGTTTGTGGGACAGTCACCGGTTTTTACCTGCCATTGGGGCAGAACTCCTGCGAATCCTGGGACTCACCTATGAAAAAAGAGAGACAATTAAGCCCAAATATATTTGGAAATATTATCATCAGAAATGATCATCGCATTCTTTAAATCAGTACTTACATTCTGCCTGTGCAATAATGGAATGTTTCTCTGTCCCGTGTCTCCACTCATGTTTGGCAGTTCCCTGATACATGACCTTCCAGAGGAAGGTATTTTTCAACAGATCCATTTTGTCCAGCTCTCCTTCTTTGCTCTCTGTGTGAGAGACCAAGTTCGAGCCGAGGCAGTTTAGAGCTTTGCTATCACTTTGATCCATGTGGGAGAACGGGACAGTGGAGTTCCAAATTCTCTGAGACAGCATCTTGAAATTCTACAAAACACAGAAATAGATGAATAAATCAATTCGTAAGTCTCATATTGCCCAGTAACATTAAATGCGTATCACTAAACCTTGTGGATCTTAAATAGGGTCCCTCATTCTCTTTTTTTCTCACGCACACACATAGCAAGATCGTAACTGCTCCGTGAAAAAAGATCCCACACACCTGGCCCTCACTAACTGGTGCTGGTTACGCTAACTGGCAGGGGAGGGTATTTTCTTTCAGGTAAAACGAGGTGATGCAAATTAATTTAGTCTTCATCCTAACAGTGATTGGTCACAAAGCCTGAACTTTGTACCTGTTGAAGGTGATAGAGGACACTGCTCTAAGTATTTTCAGTGAACACAAAGACTCTATTCTTCACTTTAACACTTCCTGCTCCTCAAGCTTGATCTGTGGAATGGGAGGTGCTGCTGAGGGCGTAACGTGAGCCTTCTGCTTATCAAAATGAAGGCGTGCTCTGTGCAGCTCACACCACTGTCTGAAGAGATGATTTTGTACAACCCAGATTAAAAGAAGCGAACCAGTTATAATCTATAAGACTGTAACTAAGGACTCATTTTGGTATTGAAAAAGTCCTAATTTAGAACATTACTATATCAGAGGCAGAGCTTTATCTCTGAAGAGTTACAAACGTAAGTTGGCTTGTTATCATAAACCTAACGTCAGCGACTATTTCTCACTACTTCAATGCGGGTATATGTGGGAGGTATCAAGACAATCTTTTTCCTTGTGATTGGTCGATGATACATTTCAAATGCAGACGGTGTGGTTACTTTTTTTCTATTCTACTTCCCTGTTGTTTGGAAATACAGTAAAAGCTTTTGTTAGTGGCACATAAGAGTGATATCACCCGTGCCTCGCCTTAATTAGTTCACATAAAAATGAAAATTCTGTCAATTGATATAATTTGATGGGAAAACCTTTCAAATTTGGAAGAAAATAGATTTTGATCATGTTTGGAGGTTCTTATGTTACAACACTGCTGAGAAAACCCCAGAAAAAGTTATTGATTTATTTTGTTACTATACATTTTATGACATAAAATCAAGTTTGGGCTTGTTCAGTTATGTCATCGGCATCTGGGCCAAACTTGATATCACAAAGTTTGATTTCACAACCACCCTCAGCACTCTAGCATAATGTGGCAGCCAGTTTTGCAAGCAGTTTTCATTTCATTTTCATAAGAAAATCTAGTTTTTGTTGCAGTGCAATCATTTAGCTAAGTAATGTAACATTTATATAATTAGTCCAACATGCAAATAAATTTATTTTCTTCATAGTGAAACAATTATCCTAAAAGCTTTTAATCATATGAATACACAAAAATCTGAACAAGTTGGTCTTTTTCTTCTGTTCAGCTGGAAAGATCTTCACAGCCTGAAGAAACTCTGCAAGGTCTCACGCAGTTGCACCATGTTGCATCAGTACGCCTTTATATGACCCCAGTTAATCTGTCCCACACTCTCCCTTTCACTCTCTCTCTCTCTCTCTCTCTCTCTCTCTCTCTCTCTCTCTCTCTCTCTCTCTCTCTCTCTCTCTCTCTCTCTCTCTCTCTCTCTCTCTCTCTCCAGCTTTTATACCTCTAAACTAAGAGAAAACAGGCCTCCATCTAAAACCAACGTCATCTGTGTACAGTGTGTAGATGCTGCCAACGGCTTATTGGCTGCAAGGAGCTGAATCCTCCATTTTGATATCTAACAAGCTGTTACATCACCGAAATGACTTCAGAGAGCACTCACAGCACTGTGGGAACATAAAAATCATCCCATAGCGTTTAAATTAAGCAATGGAAAATATGCTGCAACAAAGTCATGCAGTCGAGTAACCTGTTGTTCCTCAAATGTTCCTCACACCACGACCAGTTACACACACACAGCATATGATCACATGAAACCCCAGCAGAGACTGACAGTCCTTTTCATTACAATATAGTCATTTGCATTCAATGGTGATTAGTGAATATCATTTTTATCTTGAACACAAGAAAAAGCAAAAGAGAGAGAAGAAAACATACCGCTTTTTAAATACAGCTCCAAATGCAGAGAGCAATGCATGAGAAATCGTTTACTAACACTCTATCGAGGCCGGTCCCTCCCATTCTCTCTCTCTCTCTCTGTCTCTCTCTTCATTAGTCAGCGTGCACCTCTGACGATTGATCCCACTGGCTGTCTGCCATGTCGAGACTGAGCGCTCTGATTGGATGGGAATGATTTCCCGTAAATCAGCCCCATTTCCCCTAGCTGCACTCCACTCCTCCTCCTCCTGAGACAGCAGTCAGGCTCTCAGTAACTTCACCTGCCTGAAAGACTCTTGTTCTTTAACTGAGAGTATTTAACAGATTGTATTTATGTCTCCTTATATCGATCTTTTTTTGACATTTATCACCTTAAAGGGACAGTTCACCCTAAAATTTTAATTCTGTCATTATTTACTCATCCTCATGTCGTTCCAAACCTGTATGACTTTCTTTCTTCTGCGGAACATAGAATAAAATATTTTAAGGAAACCAACATTCTTCCAAATATCTTATTTTGTGTTCTGCAGAAGAAAGAAAGTCATACAGGTTTGGAACAATGTGAGGGTGAGTAAATGATGACAGAATTTTCATTTTTGTGAGAACTATCCCTCAAAAGTGTTTTATCCAATTCTGGATGTACGGCTGGATGTACATTATCCCTTACTTAATGTTGCTAATGATAGAGAACAATAAACATAGGGCCACAATTCTCACAAAAATTAGATGATGAAAAAAAAAACTAGTAGCAGCAAGAAAAAAAAAACTTTAGTTCCTGAATGACCTCTGTGACTAATATTTTGTTTGTTTTTTATAACCGATTTGACCAAATGTTCTTTAAATTACAAATAATCTTGTCAGACGAAAAGTATGTCAATACTGCATATTGAAACAACCTCAATCCATTACAGATCTATTTTCTCTTTGAAGAAAATGGAGCTGGAACATTTTTATGGCAAAAAACACATTTAGAAGATACATTACCGATTAAAATTCAGTAAGACTTTTGGTAACACTTGATTTTGATGATCCTCTTTAGAGATTCTGTTGACCATAAGTAACTTAGCAACTTCATGTCAACTAACAGTCGTTAGAGTATAAGTAGACTGTCTGATTAATATCTGCTAACTCTTTATTTTTATTGGTCATCCAACAGACATTCTACCGAATCTTGAAATTACATGTCAACTTATTCCACTGACCCCAACCTAACAGTCCATTAATACTGCAATGAGAGTTAGCCTAGTTGACGTGTAGTTGCAAATTAATGAGAGTTAGTTGAAATGTCATTGCAATGGTACCTACAATTAGCAGAATGTCTAAAGTGGACTATCGAAATGTATTAAATTGTAGTGTTTAGATTTTCCTTTTTAAATAACTGAATAAATGCTGTTCTTCTGATCTTTCTAATCATCAAAGAATTCAGGGGAAAAAAATATTTCGACATAACAACTGTTTTTAACATTAATAATAATAAGAATGTTGATTAAGCTTTGCCACCAGCCCACCACAGGAATAAACTACATTTTAAAATATATAAAAGTAGAAAAAAATATATATTTTAAATTGTAATAATATTTCATAATAGTACAGTTTTTACTGTATTTTGATCAAATAAGTGCAGCCTTGGTGTAAGCAGCATAGGAGACTTTTTTTCAAAAACTTCTGACCAACAACCCCAACTTTTTTGTTTATCTTTCTAATATTCGCATTACAGTCACACATCTATCCATCTATTATTCAAAGCCACAGAAAGTGAGAAAACATAATTAGCAAAGAAAATTTCACACTGGAAACATTTGTCACAGTCAATTATTTTCAGGCTACTACAGAACTGGGAGTTAAGCCACACCTTGAATTTGTCATTTCTAATGACGGTTCAGGGAAACGGTGCGGTTTGGCTTGTAACAGACAAAAACTCGTTATTGGACGTTAACTTTTCATCAACTCGTCAAAACTCACAGCCTGTAATTATCAACAGGATAAAAAAGGTTGTTGTTTTTTTGCAGAAGTGAGAGCGCAGAATGACAGGCAGATGAGGAAGAATACACAAAATGACAGACAGTGGATTCAATGGGCCATGGCATACGGAAGTGTGGATGTTCAACAGGAACAGTGTGGTATTGAGGCCAGGGACAGGGGCCGAGAAGGAAAACACACATGCTAAGAGCTATAATGACAGCCTTAAACCGCTGAAGTCTGACACAAAACAAATCGGTTTAACCAACGGGAATGTCCACTTCACAATGACTGTGTTTGAAAGACCAGTCATTAACTGTAGTGCATTTGCTTAACAAACCAATTACCTTTAAGTCCTTATAGTTTTTATCACTTTATCAATAAACCTGTCTTTTCATTTGTTTACTCATTCAAAAATAAGATGGACGGAAGCGTAAACTGGTTGAAACATGAAAATCAAAGAATAATGCACAGGTGATAAGAAAAAAAACAAACTAATCGCCATACTTCCTCAATCACAGTAGACTGAGACATTACATTTTGTATTACAAGTTTTCTGCTATGCTTAAATATGCAAATGAGGAGGTATCTAATTGTACACAAATTTGCATACATTTCCACAACAAAAATCTGAACATAAAGCCAGGTTCAGAATTCTCATTTCATTTTGTTTACATATTAGATATCTCAAAATAGAGGTGTTTACAGAGAAGATTTCGAATATCTCTTTTTATCACTCCATGAATGTCAACAGCCAGAAAGAGTTTTTTGGAGTAACATTTTTGCCTGTAGTGTCTTGCCTTTAACACACACACATTATTTTTTTTAGAGATTAGGCGTGACTCATCCACGCCCCCACACATGAACAGGATGCTTTTGGCCTGAGTAGGTCCTGCACAAAAGACTAAACTAAGGGACTGGAGGCCTGCGAGACATGGATCTGTTGATCGTCCCACTGCAAACAGACCCCCTGAATAACTGGCAGGGGCTCCTTTACCACCAAGGGACACATAATGCATTTAAGAGCTGTTGCTATGAGACACTATTTCCATAGCATTACAGAAATGCGTTTATTGTTAGACATTAAACACATGATAATAGACATCTGCACTCTTGTACTGTATATGAAGGGAATGAACTGTATGTATTATTACTGTATCATTACCATTAAACGCGCACGCACGCACGCTCGCTCGCACACTCAACGTAACTGTTAAAGATGAGCAATTTAATATGATCTATAATGAATATGTTAACCTACACATAATATTGAGGAAAAACAAAACTAACGTTAGGCTACTTGTCTTACATTTTACATCCAACAGATTTGTTCTCGTTTTCACAAATGAACGACTATTTCTCAATTATCTTTAGACATTTATAGTAAGTTAGCCTACAAACAATATTTTGATTTTCTCAGAGAGGACGTTCAAGTTGTATGTAGTAGTGTTGTCACGATACGAGAATTTCCAACTTCGATACAATACCTTGAATAATATCTATATTTTCTATACCATGGAGAAAACTGCCATACCCCCATACAGATCATTTGTCAAATTAAAATTTGGGTCATTTTGTTGTAATAGCTGACACACAGCACAGGGAGGCTTTATTTAAATCGTTGAACAGTCAGTAATAAAATTACAAATTGCAAACGATAGCACAAATAAGTACAATAGAATAAAGAAATAAATTAAATAGCCTAAACATGGCTTTAAGTTTTCAGGTGTTTCTAAAAGTATATTCGTTTTAAAACGATGAAAGAAAGAAGAGCTTTAACTTCCTCCTTCAAGCCGCCATTTCGCACAAATCAGGGAGAAAATACTCTAGAAACTAAATTTAGTGAATTCAGCTGGTATAGGAATTAAAGACGGGCGTTCCTGACGGACACTATAAGGGTAATTCAGTAAAGTTAAGGGGACTTACCTTAGTTGAACTTAATCAAGTAGGAGAATGGTCTTGTGTCGAACGGTGTGTCGAGCTCTTCTGGTAGCCTGAGACAGGAAGACTGAGGCTGCGTGTCAAAGCCTAGTGAGCTGCCTACCTAGACAGCATGTTCGGGCATTCCAGTCGCGTTCAAGCGGCTGTCTAGACAGGCAGTTCACTAGATAAGACACAGAATGTGACAGCACGACTGAAGATTCATATCGAAAGACATTTCACTAAAAGCAGCTATGAGGTTTAGTTTAGCCTACGTTGAATGGCCATATTGTTGTGTTTGTTTCTAAATTGTTTTATGAATTTCCGCCACATAAGTGCAATAAAGATACATATTGTGTGGAACATAGCATACTTTCAGCCACATCACAAGTAGTATAGCCAATACAACCATAATAAATTCAGCATCTCAATTCAAACAATGTAGAAAACATTGTTAAATATTATTTTATTTATTTATTACTTATTAGTAGTAGCTAGTAGTAGGCTATAGTGGTAGTCGTAGAATGTAATGTGAAATAATGTACATGTGACATATCTAACCATACTTTTGTTCGTTTTTGTTACGTTTTCACCTTCAGTTTTTAGTGGTATTTTGCCAATATTTTGGTCTGCAGCACCATCTACTGGCATATGTAGGTAGGCCATGCTTTCATAGAAGTTGGGAAATGAAATATCCGGGTGTGGAAAAAAGTTATAGAGTGTAAAAGCAAAATAATTTTGAAAATGGGCCACACTCGATCAGCCACCAGCCTGGGAACCCTGATGTTTTTAACTTGTCCAACTCCTGTAACAATTCCATCCCATGAAAAGGACCCATTTTCTTGGAAAGGATCTGCAGAATTTGATAGATAATCAAATGACGTAAAACCGTATTTAATCTATTTTATACATTTATTTCGTTTTTCATGTTTTTGATTAAACTAAAACCACAAAAAAAAAAAAATTTGTTTGACTTTCAATTGTTGGAAGAATCACTTAAAAAGATTTGATTAGCTATGAGGTTTGTTGCAAACAACCACAATTGCCAGAAGTACTAATTTTGTTTTGTTTTTAACAATAAGATATTGTCTTATCTAAACAATTAAATATCTTACATTTTAGATATGGGAGGCCTTATTATGTTTAGTAACTTGTGTCATTGCTTTTTGAGGTAGACAGTTAATACTTATTCTAAATGTATAGACAGTTTCTGCTACAATTTCACCCCTTATTTGCTTTTTGAAAATACCTTTATTTTTAGGAGAAATTTTGTATAGATCATATTACAATACGACACAAGTTTCCTATCCATTTTCTTTTAATTTTGCATAATGCTGTTATAGCTGAGGATTGAGATTCGAGAGTTTTTCATTTGATTCAAATGCTTTCAAACTTTTTGGCAAGCTTGAGAGCAATGGGATGTTTTTCCCCCCTGGCACCAGAGGGGGCCCTCACAGTAACTAACAAAAGACAGCCGATACAAACAATCGCATGAATGATAAATGCTTCGTGTGTAGAAATAATAAAATAAAAACATACTGAGTAAATATGTGTATTGTCATTGAAGTTGAATTACTATTAGTTCATTCGTCAACAGAGGTATTATGTAAAATAGTTGGCCTACTAGACAAATCCAAGACACATTTTAAACGTAGTAGGCTGTGTGTAAAATTTGTAAAAGTGTCCAAGGCCCTTTCTCTGCGATCAATGCACAGTTGTCGTACATTGCACCATTCATACTGTGAACAACAAACACCAGCGATGGTTCAAAACAATCTCTTCTAAAGCCAATGCGTTCAGAGTACGACGCGCTTAGATGATTGGACAGCCAGCACATCAATCAACAATGGCGCACTGCAATTGGGCTATTGCTCATCCGCCCACTTCACTGGGCGTTTCAATCAACAGAGGAACAAGTCGCAACGCAGGAGACGAGGCGAACAGGAGAGAAAATGGCCGACAGATTCTCTAGATTCAACGAAGAACGTGATTTCCAGGTAAAAAGGCTACAGGAACTGCACGTATCCAAACCTTGCTGGGTCACTATGTAGTTTGGAGAGTCGTGCTCTGTACAGTTTGGTATTACTTGTTTAAGCCGCTGAGCTCGCGTTGCAACTGTGACACTAGAACAGCGATATCGTCCCAGTTTAGCATTGACAAGCTCGAGACCAGTGAGGTGTCCGTGTCGCTTTTCAGTTTAACTTACCTGATACATTTTTAAGAATTTCCAAAAAATATCCAAATGGCCATTGACGTTTGAGACGTGTCGTTATTTGACCCCTTGTGGTTGACAGTGGTATGTTGTTAATTTGAGACGCTGGTAGGATGACCGCAGACTGGACCTGGCCTGGCACTGAGAGATAAACGCCTCAGCCAGGAGAATATGAGCAAATATCTCATTGACTAACGGCCACCTGACTCTAATATGCATGAGTTGTATGTAAAATGTTCGTTTTTACTTGTGAAACTTCTAAATTAAAGGCTGAGTTTTGTAGTTAAAGCTCTTTTTAATCCCCATTGTGCAGTTTATCTTTGCTAGGACGTTAGCCGTGATATCATGTCCTGTGTCTGCTCGCGGTTGTGACTATATGCGAATAATACAGGCATTGTTTTATTTGTTTTTGTCTCATACTGACTCTTAACTAGCACAATGGCATGTTTGTGCTGCATTTTGCATACCTGATTTGCAAGTAATGCCAGCTAAAATAAAAAACAACTAAAAAAACATTACAACGTCTGGAGTACTGATGCTTGGACACAATGCGATAAAAGAGATACATTGGTTTTTGCATTATGCTGATTCCAGATCTGGCATCTTTACTGCTTGGTAATTTGGAGTGTTGTTGACATGTCTTGATTAATATTGAACGTTATGTGTGTATGACGTTTATCGAGTGATGCATATAAAACATTTTCTGTGCATCTCTTGAGAAATCCTGCTGTAGATGTTCTTGGGCAATGTATAAGGAATGTTGTTTTTGTTTTGACAAATGATATATTGCTTGTCATAAGGGTTTCTTAATATAATCCTTAATGGTCCTTTTGGGAAGGTTTTCTGCTTTAACTAGAGCCTTAGCAAGTTTTGTCCCTCACTGATGTGTAGGCAGATGGGAGTTCACTTCAGCCCCCATTCTGAAAGAAGGGTTTCTGAAACCACGCAGTTGGGCTGCTCATGATGTATTGACAGGAACAAACAAGCTTTTATTAGAGTGCCCACGAACATTGTGAACCCCTTAGTTTAGAGCCAGCAGCCAAACTGAGAGCTTTGCCTTGGCAATTTTTCAATTGTCAGAATTAACCCTTTCACGCATAGATGTCACTGCAGTGGACAACATATATATATAGGCCTATATTTTTTTTTTTTGATGGCGTAGTTGCACATCAACCACTACAGTGAACTAGGTGCTCATCCAGCCAAGTGGCAAGCCGTTGTATATGGAATTAATTTTTATCCAAACAACAAATATGTCTGACAGCCAATAGATCAATGTAGATTTCAGTCTGAGATTTTCTCAGAGAGGACATTCAAGTTGTATGTAGTAGTGTTGTCACGATACGAGAATTTCCAACTTCTAAACAATACCTTGAAAAATATCTATATTTTCTATACCACCATACAGATCATTTGTAAAATTAAAATTTGGGTCATTTTGTTGTAATAGCTGACACACAGCACAGGGAGGCTTTATTTAAATCGTTGAACTAGATTTACCAAAAACAACAACTAAACAGTCAGTAATAAAATAACAAATTGCAAACGATAGCACAACTAAGTACAATAGAATAAAGAAATAAATTAAATAGCCTAAACATGGCTAAAGTTTTCAGGTGTTTCTAAAAGTATATTCAGGTAAGAAATACTACTGAAATGAAAGTAACCACATGTAAAATAACATTAGATAGCCTAGTTTTCATTGTAAAAATAAAATTCAGATTAATGCTTACAATTAAAGTTACAAAAGTGATTCAGTCAAGAGCAGCGAGTGATTTTATCTTGTCTTTTGTTCTTAGATTAACATGACAGACCGCAGCAGGTTAAACTGCTGTCACTTTAAAGCCTGGAACACACCAAGCCGACGGTCGGCCGTCGGGCAGTTTTTGTGCGTCGGCCGACTGAGTTTCCTCGGTGTGTTCTGCATGGTTCCGTGCCGTCGGCTGAAATTGGTCCTCGTCGGCTTTGTTTCAGCCGATTCGACATGTTGAATGGGCGTCGGGCTGTCGGTGAAAGAGGGAACTCTGATTGGCTGTTCAGCTTAGTGAAAGAGTCATGCACGAGAATAATAGCAAAACAGCGAGCAAAGAAGTCAAAACTCTACAGATATAAGGCTGTTCTTATGTTACGTCATCTTACCTGAGTGTTCCCTGGCGAATATTTCAATATTAACACGAGCGGAGTGGAATAAAGAAAGTGTTTAGCAGGATCGATATTTAAAACGGTAAGCACGCACTGCTTTGTTTATGGTTTGTGTATCTGCAGCCGACAGCGTCGGTTTCCCCTTTTTGAATGACGAATATAGACGAATATATCTGCAGAAATAGACAGTTGTCTCATTTACACTCAGGCACAGAACGCGCATTCTAGCTGACAGTCGCCAGTAGTTCTCTCGGTGTGTTCAAGTGCAGCTTTTTACCCCGACGCGAGGCGACAACACAGTCGGCTTTCATCGGCGCTAGTTCGTCGGCGTCGGCTTGGTGTGTTCCAGGCTTAAGAGCTTGATCCAATATACTATTACTAGGGGTGTAACGATACATTGTTATCGAGATATCACGATATAAAAATGCAAGCGCAAGCGTGCTGAAACAGCACTCCTCAAAGTGAAAGTGCAAACATCAGAAGAAAGACAAAGATAAATAGTGATGAAAGCCAAAATGTTAAATGTCATGAATGTATATTTCCTGAGTAATCCACTATTTGTAGAGGGGGATCACAATTTTCACCTGAGATTTTGGAGCAAAATTACAGCGGGGTAAAATGACTTCAGAAAGAGGATAGCATAATTATTTTAATTTTACACAGAGATTGGTTCGTCTATTAGTAAATCTGTTGACGTTAGCAATCTTTGTTGCATTATATGCCAACGGTGACCGTTCAAATGGGAAAAAGCACTTAGACTATTGCCTAAAGTGTGTATGACTGTAACTCAAGAAGTATTACTTTTCTTTTGG